CCTCATTTTCTCGGTGTGCGTGCGGTTATCGCCGCACCATAGATCTGTCCAAATTGAGGAATTCAATTTCCTCCGATATTGGAATTATTAATCTCAAACGAAGTTACTTCCCTACTTTTAGTAAACAATAACTACATAAATTACAATTCCGCGATCACATGGGGAAATATGACGTTTCCAAATTTCCTCAAAATAGCGATATGTGCTCGATCATTTGTGAATTTATTTACGGACCAATGAACGTGAATGTGTCGACAACTGCTAATAAAAAGAAATTGTATTTTTCAAAAAAAGCATCGTGATCTTTCAGAGCTGAAGAAACTTTAAGATTGCTGTACTGTAAAGTCAGGAAAACCTCAGATATCACGCTTTACCATCCGACCACAGAATTAATGTCGAAGATAAATTTATCTTTTTAAAATTTAATGCTACTTTCATTCTGCGGTGTCACTTTAACTGATTTAATTTCGGTATTAACAACTCTTCAATTCTAGTTCAAGCCTAAATATATTCGAAAAGGCTTTGTTCTTTCTTCTCTATTCTTCGATTCAAGGCGTTGAATGTTCATAAATGATGGGATTAATGTACCATCATAATTGGAGAAATTTGTTGCATAGCACAGAATATTAAGATATTGCGTGTAAACATATTTGTTTAAATTGGGCAATTAATTGTGCGTTAATTACAAATAGTGATGTACAATTTTTTGAAAAATACAATTTCTTTTTATTAGCAGTTGTCAACATTTACGTTCACTGGTCCGTAAATAAATTCACAAATGGTCGAGCACATATCGCTGTTTTCAGGAAATTTGGAAACATCATATTTTCTCATGTGACCGCAGAATTGTAGTTTATGTAGTTATTGTTTACTAAAAGTAGGGAAGTAACTTCGTTTGAGATGTGTATGGGTTTTAACACTTTATCTGTGGATAGCGTAATGTTCTATGTTTTCGTCTTTAACAATCATTGAAAGACTGCTAATTATTTCGTGCTATTAACAGTCTTTAGCCACTATTAGCGCTTATTGATATTTCTTAGTGAGGCAACCTTTGTCGATTAGTTATAATTTCCACACTGACAATTCTATCATCTTCATTAAACCTTACCGTTTCCATTTCGAATCAAATAAGATAAATGTTAACTGTTTCCACAGAAAAGACAGTGATAACTCTTTTCAGACTACATCTTTTGAAAAAGAAAGAAACCCTTTTTTAAATAATACGATCGAATGATGTTCTGAAAGTTCCATAATTTTGCTTACAAGTAGCTATAATATCACGCAGTTACAGGTACTCTATTCCCTTAAAAGTATTCACAATAACCATGAATTTTTAGTTAAAAAAATATTTTTGGATTTCCACATCACAGCAACTTGTTGCCCGATCGAAATACAGCGAATGTAGAAGTTTATATTAGTTATTTCGAAAAGAACATTTAATATAATATACTAAAAGTTCCGTTATATAGATGAAATATAATGGAATTGAATAAATGGAATATAAAGATAACACGTTTATGTATACGCCGCGAAGGCCACATATCAAAAGAGATCGAGAAAACCGGAAAACTATTTCTACGGCGCTACCAGCGCCAGTTGGGAGCATGGGCAGACCAACTCTTCAGAAAATATTCTACATAACATTCTTTTACTATTACATATTATTGTAACTGCTTAAAGAATTGAACGAAAGGCTTACAACAAACAACGTCTGTATTTCCAAATTTAAAAGTGTGCTAAAACGAAACAGATTTGAAACAGGTCACACAGCAGAACACTACAGCAGAACATTATCCTTTGAAGTACCATTGAAGGAGTTTCTCTTGACACGGAAAATCGCGAAAAGTTAAATGCAATTGGATAATTCCAGCTGAAGGATAGAAGGACACGATTGGCCGATGGCTCTTCAGAGAGAAGCAGTTAGAGTTTCTGGGAGGCCAGATATCAGAACGCCCATCTTGAAGAAGTTTGTCGAAGCGATTAAAACTTCCACCGAAAGTATTTGATGCTTTTCCTTCACAACTGTCGGAAAAGTTCGCGTTGTTGGGAGATTTGGTACTTGCATCAGCGAGTTAAACAAAAATTGTATTATATGGGAATAAATGAACAACAGACTATTGGGTACGTCAAACTCACTTATATTAGCAATTCAGCAGTGCAGAATGGAATAGAATGAATACCATAACCTGTTAACCAGAGAACTGCATCTTCCGATAATTTTCCTCTTTATTTATCACAAGATTTTTCTTAAGGGGTCATGCTCAGTCAGAAATTTTCAAAAAATCGATTTTTCACTTTCTACATTTTCTTTAAGTACAACATCTCGAGAATATTCTGTGCAAGTTTCAAGGTAATCCAATTAAAAATGACAGAGTTACAGGCGTTAAAAAATGAACATTTTATATAAGTGTAAGCTTGACTTGAAACTTTAAACGCGTTTTTCTCGAAACTACATTTTTCAAATCGGTGATCAATATTTCTCGAAAACTACTGTGTCGATTTACATGAAGCCTTTTGCGCCTTATTTCAAATCAGAAAAACTTGTCCTTGAACGAAGGATTCTTTTGTTCGTTCCATACTTTTTTTTTAATTGACCAAAAACGAGTGATTTTTTAGGTGAAAATCGCACTTTTTCAGGAAAACGTCCGCTATTGTGTTCCTAATCAATATTTCGAAAAACCCCACTTTCAAGGACAAGATTGATTCTTCCATTACATAAATCTTACTGAATTTTTAATTTCAGATGAACCGTTACGAAGTTACAGCGATCACGGCAGATCACTTTTTGTGAAGAGACATCTGGGAGATCGCTCACCATTTATTTACTAATAAATATTTTTAAATAAAAAAATTACCTTATAATCTAGAAACTACAATATTTGAAACGCAAACATATTTTTTGAAAAAGGTCTTATAGTTTTCGAGAAAAAAATTCCCAAAGAAAACTCTTTTTTCGGCCTCCTGACTGACCATGACCCCTTAAGGCAAATCTTTTTAAACCATTGGGACCTAAAGTTGCCTTGACGCAACATTCCACTGGAAATTTTTTTTCGGTGAATTTACATTATTGAACTGGGTTTTTCATATTGCAGTTATGAAAGAGGATTTCGAAAGTTTGCTTAATATTGTTTTCGTCACTATTGCTTCTTCCACTTAGATTCAACGACGTTTTGAAATTTCATGAAATTCAAGTTTTTGTAGTATATGTACATTGATAAACCAATTTTTTCTTACATTATGGAAATTATTTGGTGCATCTTTCATATGTAGTGGGCTTCTACAATATGGTGTTTTGTCTTATAATGCATTTCTTCCATTTCGGGAAAATAATATACATTTGTCTAAGTCATTTATACATATACGTTTTTCAATGAAAAGTTGCTGAAAGTTGCATGAACGCAACATTTTGTTACATAAAAAATAACGATCCAAACATTTTTTTGATAGAATTTATATTCTTTCTTATACACTTTTATAAATAATAAATATTTATATGTGTAAAAATCGCCTTATTTCACTGTTTGGATCTTAATGTGTTAAACCACGATTATTCGTCCTTAACCAAGTCCATTCATATGGCATGTTAGTGGTCAGAAAATCACCAAGTTAACATGGTTATTAAAAATTTAATAATACTTTAACATTACTCTGACCTTTTTTGTACCTTATTCTTGTTTTACCGTAAATTGTATAAAAATATGTATTCTAGTATTCATTAATGTTTGTTTTCAACAATCATGTACCGCGGCTGGAGGTTCCATTTCAAAAAAGCAATTATGCTCCTCTGTTTTTAATTTGTTCCTGCCTGAACAGCATGGAAATGTAATTTTGTTTTTTTCGATGTGTACAAATGGGCGGTATCGATTCTTCGACGCTTGCAATCTGTGCAGAAATCTCGCGAAACGCTGTGTTTCACTTACTTCAGCGGTTTTCGAGCATGAACCTCGATTTTCTCGACCACAGCTTGAGTATTCTAGACCATCGGGATCGTTTCGAGTGCTTAAGTCGAGACTAGGGTAATTAGGATTACAAGAGGGTGTACAACGGAAATGGGATGTTTTTCCTATGCTAATTCGAAGGCACTTTTGACGAGAGGAGCGATACAGTGAAAATGCCCCGTTTGCAATTATCGTTCTCAGCAGGGGCATGAATTCAAATGAACGAAACAGGCTGTTATCATCTAATCATTGAAAACGACGCAGTTTTCAGTTTGTTCACGAAATTTTTAATGATATTATTTTATGAACTTTTTGTGTCTTATTTTCTTCATCAATTTGAATGCACTTTTATACGTATTAAAAATATTAAGTATAAATACTGACATTGTGGACGCCAATAAGTCGTCGAATAAGTGACACGTTTTATTTAGAAAATTAAAAATCCCCGTTAGTGTAAATCAATTATTTGAATATATAAACAAAAATACATTAAAAGAATAAATATGTGTTATTTATTTTCTTCATTTCTGGCTTCAGGGTTTAATGACCTTCTTTCATTTGACAAATGTATTTTATACTTCAAGATAATTGTTCGCAAGCTGTTAAAATATATTTTTTCAGTTCCAGTATTTATTTGTTTTTATTTTATTTTTAAATTAGAAATTCTAATGCCAATGGAAAGAATGTGTATGAAAATTGTTATATCTGTAATGTAATATAAGAAATACACATTAAATTTTAATTGATTTACGTGAAAATTAAATGTGTCTATAATTTACATGAGTGTTCTCACTCTACCCATCAGTTATCTATTATAGTATAAAATCCTTTGCTCGATCGTGTAGTTTAATGCGTTTATCTAAATAATACATGCAGTTAACAATTTAATTATCATTAAATGTGTAAAAACATTAATATTAATACTTCGTAATATTTAATGAATGTTTTTGTTAATATTTTTTAGTATTAAAATATTAATCCTTCAAGATTTAGTGACTACTCCGACGAGGGGTAATTTGCAACTATTCAATAACATATAATTTGTTAATATTCTAATTCCAGACCGGATATAAACGCGATAAAAGCATTGGCATCTGCAGCTCCGGGGGCGGTGAAGGTAGCTCCACCAGTTGTGAACAGAGTTGCGGCCGAGGATCGCGAATTGGCCCGACAAGGCAGCCTTGTAGACGGTGAAAGCATCAAGATCGTTATCCACCACGCGGATAATGATATGAGTGAGTATATTCGAGAAAAATCTTTCATTAAAACACCCCTCTATTGTTCGACATCGTTGGAAATTGGATTACGAGCTTTTCATTGTTTTCCACGCCTGAGGCCAAGTTTTATCTGATAACAACAAACTTTGCCTGACAATACCTTCGCAGCTAAAGGTGCTTCCGAGATCTCTGTATATAAGATGGTTAATATAACTAACGACCCGAGTATAATATTCTGCAGATATTGATCTTACCGAAGACCATTGAATACCGTGGGAATAATGTTTAACCCTTTCATGGTAGAATCTTTTTTTGAAAATGTGTGACTATTTGATTCCTTTATTTTAATAAAAAGAATACATATTTCAAACCACCGTTGAAGGGTAAAAGAAAACCGACGAATGTAGTATTTCGAGTTTAATCACATCCCTTGTAGTACAGGGAACATTAATGTTTTTTCCAATGGGGTTTTAAACATTTTTTAATACATACCACGCCGGCAATGGTAAATTATAGTTTTAGATTATTACTTAGGCACGGATTTAAGCAGAATTTTATTCACAAAATATATACATAGTGGAAAGCAACAGTAGGTATCTGAAGCGTTATTCTGATATTGTATCAGTGAATGAGATTAAATAATTGTTTCGAATAATTTAATCGATGCTCCTTGTCCCAGAAATCATAACTGTTATAAGACAAATATTTTAAGTTATGGTATAAGAGTTCTTTAATTAAAAAATTGTTGTTACCAGTAATCAATGTAACAAATGACTGAAATTTGTTTTGGTTACCAGTAGCCATTATTGATGACCCGAATTTTATTTTGGTTACAAATAGCAATTATTGACGGCAAAAAATTTTGTTGGTTACCGCCAATCTATATCGAAGGCAAGAAATTTTTCCGATTACAATTGATTATTGTCTGTTCTTATTAACATTACGGATAATTAGTATTAATTGGCAACATAAACAATGAATTATAAAGCTTATATGTCTTATTAAACAAACATACGGTATCAAAATATATGAAACAAAGAATAGAATAAAAGGTGTTGTAGTAGAATATCTTTGGATACATTTTTGAGCGTTCAATGTTTTGAGTTAGTATATATAATTAGAAAGAGTGGTAATAATTTTTATTATTTCATAAAATTATATTAATCTTAAGGTGTAATGTGTAAGAAGAACATATACAAAGTGAATTTCACCAGTGTTTATGCATCTCCCAATAGGATTTCAAACGATTTATTGTTCTCTAAATTTCATATAATGCATATTTTTACAAAATTTTGTTAGTATGATACTTTTTCAGTGTTTCTTACGAATATCACTACGTACGTCTATTTATATTTATTTTCTAGAAAAACAAAATTCACCTCAACGTTACTAATGGAATTTTTTTAATGATTTAATCAGATAAGACTCTTTGATGCTTCACCAAGCTAAATATTATGTTACAGAGAGGTTACTTTATAAAAGATAATGTTACAATACCTACGTATACGTATTCCCGTTCGCTTGAATCTCAAATATTAAAAGTGCATCGAAAGGGGATATAAAACATTTAAAATATTAAGAAATGAGGAGTTAGGGGCAACTTGTAATTAAATAATGCTACGTTTAGTGTATATGGAATAAAGGTTCGTGGCGAGTTTGTAATTGAATTCCTTTAATTAAAATTCGGCTATTTAATTTTGCTTCCGATCCATTTTAGTCGCGTTTCCTGGCGAAGTGAAACCTGTAACGACGTCCTTGTCCGTTAATACGCCATAAAAAGCTGGATAACCTGTTAAGCTCGTTCTTTTTGATGGGAGCTAGTTGCGTCCGCTTTGAAACCGCTGTTCGTAGAAACCGTTTAATTGTAATTAATTCCGGAGCGTAATATTTTGTTGCTTTCTGTGGTTCGAAGAAGTTTCGGAACAAAAGGGTAATACAAATACAGAAAGCGGTCCATAAATATGATTTTACCTTAATGAAATACAATTATATGAAAGCTGCATTAAATACAAATGGCTGCATCAATTTAGAATTAATTTACTAAGAATAAATACACTGCTCAAAGCAGTTAAATAATCAGTACTGAGGATGGACTTGTTGCGATAGTTAAGTGAAAGAAACAAAAAACATGTTCTAGGTTTGATAAACTGACATGTTCTCCTTGCAATATTAAGACATAGTTTTGTTTGTATACAAAATTTTCTTATGAATTATATGTTACAGTGATGAACACAGTGGCTGCTTTAGATTATCATTTAGTTGTTTTGAGCAGTTTATTTAATCTGCACCAATTCGCACCGTCGCACAGTGGTTCCAATTGCGGCCAAAACTCGGTTTTTTCAATATTTTTTTCTGACAAAGCTTGATGAAAACTTTAGTAGAAAAATCCTTGGGGATATTTATTTTGAAAAGATCTTTCTTCTCTAAGTATTTTTTTTTTCGTGAAATCTTAACTTAATTTAATTTAATTCCCGACAAAAAGAGCAAAAAAAGATAAAAGTCTGTTGAGAATTCACTGAGTTACGGAATTTTGTCCCCAAAAAGTCACTTTGGAACCACTGTGCGTCGGTCAAGACTGGTTCCAGTGGTCTTCATTCTTACAGATTATCGATTTTTTTTTATTTAACTGAATGTATGTGAATATAACATACAGTAGCGGAAAAAAAGTTACCATTTTCCTGATTTTTTGTATTTTTATTATTTCTTAACATCAACTTAAAACCTTAATCTACTGGGTTTGATACAGCTTTTAAGTCGCTATCAGAATGTACATGAAACGAGTCCTAAAACTCTAAGTTGACTTTAAAAAATAATGAAAATAAAACGCTGCTGATATGAATTCGATAATAGAAAACAGCAACTGAGAGCTCTTATGAGAACTTATTCAAGTTTAGAAGGAATACTCACTAAATGCATAAAAATGAAACTTTCTAATCGATTAATCGTGATGAAGCAGCAATTACTTATTACAAATAATTTTCATTCTAATTTGTTATTGTATGTGTTGTTTTTTGTACACGACTATCCATGTAGTACCAGACAAAAACTATAACAACTTGCGCGTAATAATTTTTCGAAGTTTAACTTCTTCAGAATTTTTTGTATCAATTAACGAAAAATATGGATTTCTTTGATCCTTATTTTCTTAAATATTAATAATCATAGTGAAATCCATACCCTTCGTTAATTAATACAGAAAATGCTAAGGAAATTGATCTTAGAAGAATTATTACGGTCAAGTTGTTATACGTTCGTCGATCGGGAAACGGCACTTTTGAAGTAACTAAATTTGAAATAATACTTAATCCATTTATACCTACCGTCCAATATTCTGTACAGTTCATTGACGAAAATTTATGAAGTACCCACTTTTTCCTATTACCGATTTGGCCTTCTGTACCATACATGAGACGGATAATCCCTAGCAAACCTTACATGAATTATATTGTTCCATATTTTTCAGATGATTTTCGAACGTCCTTAATTCTATTAATTACGAAAGCTCCATGAAATTCTGACTAAATTAGTATCGGGTATAAATGGGTCTACATGATTTTAATACAATTTTTCGTGTATTTTTATTCAATCTTACAAGCGTACCTATAATTAATAATTGTATTTATACACAATAAGCAACACAAGAACTGAATAAACTTGGGTTTCGGTAGTAATTGCTGCTGTTTATTCTGATTCGCAAGAGAACAGATTGTACGACTTGAAAAGAAATCAAACATTCATGTATATCAGAGGTAGGTACTATATCCTAACGAATATTCAGTAAGAATATCCAGAAGAATGCTCTGTTATCTTGAAAATGAAAATTTTATTAGAGAAACGGCGGACAACGACATCATTTTCTTCTGGATCGTAAAAGTTTCTTTCACGGTTGTAGTTGTCGGTGGATCAAAAATCTATATGCGATCGGGACCTGTCCATAAACGTAACGCCGAAAGTGAAAAATTGTAGCTCAAGGAAGGTGAACCTGATTTTTCGACGCAATTTGCGGGCGAATCTAGAGGGATATAAAATTTGATCAGTTTACAAGTAGATTCCCCGAGGAAGGTTGTCATAAAAAAGGTATGCACAGCTTTTCCGGGAATAGCTTCTGGAAAGCTTACATTCTGGCCTGGAAAATGAAGATACGGGTTTTATTCCTTGTGTTTCTGGGTTGTAAGTTGATGATGTTGGAAAATATGTCGAGACGTTTCTTGAAAGTAATATTTTCGTAACGACTGTCGAGTTTATGCATTCATGGCGTGCACGAGTACATCAAACACAATGATATAATAACAGTACTGACATTTTTACAATAGTATTAAGTTTGCCTAAAATATATCACAGACTCAACATCTTATGGTTATTCTTCTTTTTTAATGGCAAATATGTCGAATTTTTCTAACTTCTTTTATAGAGTACAAATATTACAGTTTGTATTGTTACGAGCCAGGGCTAAGCGGCTGCGAGTGTAAATGATAAAGCTAATATTTGAAAGCTTGCCTGAAGAGGAATTATTGAAACGATGTTTAGGGTGAAATATTTAAATCAATAACGAAAATTTATAAATATATAAATAGGCGTAAATAATCTGTATATATATGATCCTCCAAAGAGATATTTATAGAGAATTACGATATATATTGATTAATAAATGTATATATTATATATAAATATATTATATATTTATAATAATATATTATATTTATATGTATACATACATGTATATACATACATGTAATTTGTACTTTAAATATATATTGTATAAAGCGGCCTTTGTCGGTTCGCTTCTAGCTGGGAATTTAGATGTTATTCTAGAGTTGATATAAACAACACTAAATTATATATATATATATAAACGTATATAAGTATATTCAATAAGTAAAGGTTTTACAAATGTTACTGTAAGGTGTAGTCGCGGAACCTAATTCCAACGTCCTCAGTTTTCACGCACTAAGAAATGCGGGGATTTGTTATGCAGAGTTTAGCTTACTTTTAAAAATGCTTGACAGGGATTTTAATACTCGATCTCACTAGCTAGATTTCTGATATGAGTATGATCTGCGGACGAGGTGTACGCGTCCCTTTTTATACCCCGAAAATCGAGTCTATAAGTAGTGGGGGACACGCGTGTTCTTCAACGGAAACTGTTTTCCAAGAAAATCTGACCACGCCATAACACCCCGTAGGCAATTACATAATCTGGCCGGATGCATTCCAACTCCCGATAAGGTTAAGAAGTCACGAGAGTGTGTTTGTACGTAACAGTATAATGCATCTGTTAAAATTGCAAGAAATACCAGGTTTGCAGAAATAAATGATTTGTCATTTATTTTACCCTAACAAAATATACTTTTTACGTATATTTAATCATGTGAAATACCCCATTTTTAATCCGTATTCCGAATCTCTTGATAAGTTTCAAATTAACGTTCGATATATGTATCGCCAGAAGCCGCAGCTGGGTCATTCGTGACCCTTAACAAGATGTTACAAACACATATAGATGAAAGATGGTATTCGATTTTTCATTGTATAAACAGTACTTAGAGTGATTATATTCATAGATGGGTCATCGGTGACCCAACCGTAGGATCGCGAAGGTAAAAGCAATTCTAAGTGAAAATTTCAACAATTGTCAACAAATATGCACCTTTAGAGGACGGAAAGCCTATTTTCAGGCTCCAGAGGAGTTGCTTAATTTTTGTAGTATGTATAACACTACATATAAGAAACATAAAAGTGCTAGTTCGAAAAATATAAAAAGTCATGAAAAAACATGCCTGTCCTCTAAAAGTTGAAAGTATTATTCTTTTTGAAAAGACTTAAGGCTCTATAATAGATTCTAAGTCTGCATTTGATGCGAATTTAAATACGGATTGAAAAGAAGTCCTCAATATGTAATATAAATTTCTGTGTATTTTCGATTACTATAAAATGGTTCTGAAAAATTTCAATTTCCATAAACACACGTAATATAGTAATGATGGAGATCACTTTAGTATGGAAAATAATAAAATGAATATCAATTTGTTTATCTTCTGTTCGTACTATTTGATTGTCGACTTTAATATTGTTGAGTACTCAAGTAACTTCTAGTTAGATGTTTTCCTGTATCGTACAATTCTATGAAAAAAACAAACGATCAGCAAAGAGACTAGGAGACAAACTGAATTTCTGCAAGAATGAGCATCGATCGGGGGTGGAATTGAGGGTATAAACGAAATCATCTTTACGCTACATCGAGCGGAAGTCACGCGTCTGCATTATAAAAAAAGACGGCTGGGCCAATCTTTCTCCACCCCTCAAAGATTTTGCTTTTGTTACCATTCGGTTGCATTGTTGTTAAAGGAAATGATTCTACGTAACCACAGACGTCTATGTTATTTTTGAAATAGCAATGTTATAGACCCTATTTTTTATTTAGTGTTTGCTACTTTATTTTTAATAAATTTAACAATTTTTTTACGTATTTTATAGTTATTGTGATGATTAGACTAACGACACCTAAAAAAACTCCCATTCTTATAGACTATTTTAGAAAAATTGAGAATTATTTTACCAAGTAAGGGGTTAATTAAATTAGAACTATAATAAAAAAACCAATTATTTTTATTAAGTTTTTTGTCTCAGTGGGTTTTGCAGATTGTACCTACCCATGACATAATTGCATAAAATCTGCAGTCTATTTATTAGTGATGTATACGTGTTTCAATACTGCACAAATTTGTTTAGTTAATAACTTATAAAACATCATTATTTACTTCAAGTGTTCAAGTATTTATTTATGAATCTAATAATTCTCTGTAAAAATTAATAAGAATTTCTTCATGTTAATACACGGCAATATAAATTAAATAAAAAATATGAAAGAACTATATTAATTTGAAAACATGACAGATTCTTCTTACGAAATAAGTAACCTGCAATAATGGTAACAAGAATGCCAAGTATAGTAAGAAGTGGTAGTTATTAATTTATACTTTCAATTATAAATGTAATTAGGTTATTAGTTAAAGATTGTTAGCACAATTATAATACAAACTAGAAAATGAAACAGAAATAACGTTATTTTTCGTGATGTTACATAGCAATGGGCATGAATCCAAGAGAAATTATGAAATTTTTGACGACGTAATTATTTCTTTCTTTAGGAAACATGGAAAAATGTAAAATAAATCTGTATTTCTTTCCGTTTCAGTACCATGGGTCAACCCGAAAAGAAGAATAAAACTGAGGAGAGATCCAACTTTGGACAAGGGACACAGAGGTGAGTCCATAATTACTTCATAAAAATGAATTATTATTTACTTGTACTAATTACGTAAAACGGATGGTACAATCTTTAAGGAAGTGACTGTAAATGTAAAAAAAAAGTCGAAATATCTATGAAATAAGATTTTTATTTGTTACATCATCAATGCCAGCTCTGGTATTGTGTCTGACTATTACTTGTCATTTCTACTTATACCCAACATTGAAGATGATACCATGTCTTCCGTGTTCTATCGATCTCATTTTCATTTCCTTATTTATTCACATCAAACTAATGCGAAAAATATATAATACAAGTAGCATTTTTAATCTCTTGAAAATTAACACAATTTAAGTGGTGATTATCTTTACTATATGATTTCGACGAGTTTTTCTGCATAAAATCACCTCCCTTTCGGATCTAATACCAGTTACATGATACTATCTAAACATTGCATACATATGTATATACATTAGTACATGCATAAAAGTAGTTAACCATCTTTGGTCAATTATAATATCTACTACTTGAAACATTATTGAAAATTGAAAGTATAGAGAGAAATTGATGGATATACATATACCTACATATGTACAATAACACGGTAATAATATTATTGTAGTGAGTATATGGATAAAGAAAATTTTATAGTCACCCCACTTTTTAAATGCAATAATTATATTATTATGGTGTGACCAAATACATGATACCTCGTGCAAAAGTAAGTAGAAAATGTACTGAAAATATCTGTTTTTATTTCTCAATCTTTATCCATCCCGAAATAAATAGTACATTTAATAAAAAGAACCATTTGTTCAACGAGGTTACTTAGAAAATATTGTATATCGAAGTGTGGTCGACCTAAGAAATCAACAATTAGGCAAGGCAGTCGTTAATTACTTAAAGGGAGCACTCCGTATAGATGGGTAAAATAAAGCTGATTTTTCTGAGATGATTTTCAAAGAACTTATTTAGTTTAATTTGTTGACGCTTTTAGGTTCACTTAATATATAGTCTTTAAAGTAAAAAAAATGTTGTCCATAATAAAAAGAGTTCGTATATGTCGATCCATTGAGGTAGTTCCCAGAGACCACGGCGTCGGATGTATAAATCGGCGTACAGTCTACCGTCCACTGTATTTGCCTAAAACAAAAAAACACACAAATTTTGTTTTTTAAATAAGATTACGCTTCAAATGAAACTATTAGAACAATAAAAAGTGCTTGATTAAAGAAATGACGGAACTTTAAAGTTAAAGACAGCGATTTTTAGAAAAAAATTCGTGTTCAATATGCAATAAACATTATATAATTATACACGCACGCAAATTTGGAAAAAGTAGTTTGGAGAAAAATGCGTTTAAAGTTTCAGATAGTGAAAAGTGTACGTTTTCGCATACTTACAGCTATTTCGCGCTAATCTGCAATTCCAAGTCAATACAGAAATCCTTCTGCTTCCTCAAAAAACTGCTGTTGTTCTAATTGTTGTTCTCTGCGAGCAGAGCGAGCTTCTTTACTACTACTGGGGCTGCGTCGTTCTTGGCGATTTACCCGTGCGGCGTTGTACTTATCAGCAAAAGATTTGCACTCGTGTCCAATTTTTATTTGCAATATGTTCATCATTTTTAAAATGGCACAATATCCTTCATTGACAACGCTAGCAGCTATAAAAGCGGCGATTTCAATGATATTAATCCCGTAGGTCAAGTGTTTCGGTGCCAAACGCCAAACGGTAGAATTAAAACTTTCATTGACATTTTGCGTATGATCGCCGACACATCTTTCCAGAAGATCTTTCTTCGATAGATCTTGGTATATGGGTAATAAATACTTTTGTACGTCAGGATGAAGTGGGAGCGCGTGCTCAAAACTTCTCAAGGACAATGTCCTCACTAGTCACAGCACTATGTTTTCTTGCTGAAGCACTTTGTTCTTTCGGAGCACCTTCTTTTTCGATGAACTGACTGCCGTCGAACTTTCTTTTACGCGGCCTAGTCTGACGATATTTATCGTCTTTACTTCCTTTTGGATACATTTCAATAATTTTTCACTTCTGCACGGACCGAAATTCGGAACACAACTCACTCCGAAAAATAATATCTATACCAGCGTTTACACCGAAGGGCACTGATTCATTCTAACTCGACTACAGCCGTACTTAGACGAAGATACACGAAATATAAGACCGACTAAAACTGCTCGAAATAATTCTGCGTTCTGAGGTCTAAAACTCCGGTTCTGATTCGAATTTCAATCTGTTCCTGAAGGGACATATTCTCCAGATGCATCATTATCGATTTATGCAAAAAAAAAAAGTAATATCAACGGTATTCATAATTTAAATACTACAGCAAACGGCGTTTGTCCGAAAAGATTTATCCGCTGCATCTCAATGAAATCACGCACAATTCATTCAGAAGCAACGCCGGGACCATTCAATTCTATAGTGGGTGTAAAAAAAATTTCCAATTTACTCTTCAGTATGCATTCGTATCGAAGCAAACTGTGTGTTACGTGCAAGTGGATATTCATAGGCGTGCATCAGACGAGCCGTATGAACGAGCTGAAACGAGACCATAAAGGTTGATAAAGAGCGAAAGCAATGAAGACCTCCGCATGACCCCTAGTTGTTGGCGTGCGAATGACGTTTAATTACTCGTTGCGCATTCAGTTGGGTTTGCTCACTTTTCATTTCTCTGGTGTTGTGAAGTGAATTGTTTATCGCGGTCGAATAAGAGGAGCGCGGTCGAGATGTATGGGAGGCTTGTAAAACAGGAAATCAAGGCGATACGTTGGCGCCGCGAAAAGGCCAATGGTGCGTATATAAATTAGAATTACCGTATTCGTTGCGCCCTGGTTATACATATAAAGCTTTGACGAATGGGTAAGTGATTAATTCTGGTGGGTGATTTGATTCAGTGGATCATGTGCGTTGCCCAGGCGTATGTAATTGATCTTTGTACAGGGTGTTTCGGAGTTAAACGACTGAAATTTATTAATTCTTTCACGCGATACATATCGATGATGCCGGAATAATTCGATACCTAACTATTAAGGGGTCATGCTCAGTCAGGAGGCCAAAAAAAGAGTGTTCTTTAGGAATTTTTTCCACGAAAACTATAAGACCCTTTTCAAAACATGTGTTTGTGTTTCAAAGATTGCAGTTTATACATTATAATGTAATTTTTTTACTTAAAAATATTTATTAGTAAATAAATGGTGAGCGATCTCCCGGATGTCTCTTCACAAAAAATGGTCTGCCGTGATTACTGTAACTTCGTAACGGTTCACTTGAAATTAAAAATTCAGTAAGATTTATGTAATGGAAGAACCAATCTTGTCCTTGAACGTGGGGTTTTTCGAAATATTGATTAGGAACAAAATAGCGGACGTTTTCCTGAAAATTGCGATTTTCACCTAAATTGATCACTGTAACTTCGTAACGGTTCATCTGAAATTAAAAATTCAGTAAGATTTATGTAATGGAACAATCAATCTTGTCCTTGAAAGTGGGGTTTTTCGAAAGATTGATTAGGAACAAAATAGCGGACGTTTTCCTGAAAAAGTGCGATTTTCAATCTAAATAATCACACGTTTTTGGTCAATTAAAAAAAAGTATGAAACGAACAAAAGAATCCTTCTTTCAAGGACATGTTTTTCTGATTTGAAATAAGGCGCCAAAGGCTTCATATAAATCGACACAGTAGTTTTCGAGAAATATTGATCACCGATTTGAAAAATGTAGTTTCGATAAAAACGTGTTCAAAGTTTCAAGTCAAGCTTACACTTATATAAAATGTTCATTTTTTAACGCCTGTAACTCTGACATTTTTAATTGGACTACTTTGAAACTTGCACAGAATATTCTCGAGATGTACTTAAAGAAAATGTAGAAAGTGAAAAATCGATTTTTTGAAAATTTCTGACTGAGCATGTCCCCTTAACTACTCACAAGGGTACATCACAAACGATAACTCGCGCGTTGGAATGAAACTATGTAGGTTTATAGAGTGATTCAAGACAAGAATGATGGTATGTTTCATTCGTGTCCTGTCGCCCTTTAAGGGTGTGAAAATTAATCTCTAATTCAAATAGGTACTCCCACCTTTTACAAGAGATACAAAAAACACCTCAAATTGTAATTTATTGGTAGGTGCATAAGTGCTACACACTTGCGTAAACAGAATTGTGAAAAAAAATTTCTTTTTCAAACTTTCCAAACTATTGTTTAAATTTTTTGTATCTCTTGTACTTAAATGTTGTATGCCAAGAAGGTCTAGAAAAAAATTTGTTTAAGAAAACTTTTCAAAAATTTGTTAACGCAAGTTTATAGCGGTATATTGTACCATTACAGTTTTGTATGAAACTTCTTTTCTGTATCTTTTGTACTTTAAGAATTATGCGCGAAGGAGTGGGAGTCCCTCTTTAAATTTGAGCTTAGATTTTAGATCCTTAAAGGACGATTGGGCACGAATGTAACATCTCGTTATTCTTGTTTTGAATCACTTTATAAACCCACAAAGTTTCATTCCAATCCGCGAATCAGCGTTCGCGGTATTCCTTATCAGTGGGAAGTATCGAAAGTCATCGAAATCTCGAATAATTGGTATATATTAAATTTCAATACTGATGCTTCTTAGATCGATACCAATCAATGCTAATATTATAGCGACCGAGTAAACATCGATACCATGAACGATAAAATCGAATTTTTCAAGTACTTTATGGATAGAAGAATACCTACTTAGCTGTTATAACAGTGATACCAATATTTATGTGAAGTATCAAATGAGCATTGATACTTTTATAGAAGTACAAAAATCGTTATCGATATTTTCGTCGAAGTACTAAACTGGTATCGTTACTTTCGTATAAGCAATGAAGGGATATCGATTCTTTTTGATTCTACGTCTTTGATACTACTCTACCTGCTCAAAATTTACGGTCAAGTATCGATAGTAATAAGAAAGTCCCAATATGCATGGGTATAAGAGAAAATACTCTATGAAAATCGAT